ATGTAAGCCACCCTAATTAAATGTTTTTCCTTTATAAGAGTTCCTGTGTTCATGGTGTCTCTTCACCAAAATAGAAACCCTAACTAAGACACCTGGTAGTCAGTACATAGTGAGTTCCAGGACAGCCAGGGCTACTAGTAAGTCTCAACAAAACAAACCCTGAAGTCTGAAGGTATACGTCTGTGCAGAGGACAGAAAGGGGGCAGAGGTGGTGGTGGATGGCTGAAGGTAAGATTTCTGTCTTTGCCCTGGGTTTGGCAAATACTGGGGATGGCACACCCCTATATCCACACCTTATAAATTACACATGAACTTGCTCATTTTCCAAGTGCAGGTTTTTTGTGTGTTGTTTTTTTGTTTTTGTTTTTTCAGAATCTGCTTAGCAGGTTCAAGAAGGCCAGGGCCAATACTACTGCTGGTCATGGAAAAGGTCATTCATGCCACAGGTCCCAGTTTGAACCCTGGGGTAGCCAGCCTCCTGTCTCTGCTTGGGAGGGAAAATAAGGCCAACGCAGAGCCAATAACTACCCTCCCTGCAGCCACTCAGGCTGCTCAGAGAGGGCTGGAGAGGGAGGGTAGAGTGAAGGTCAGCAGCCCAGAATGAGGCAGGCTGGGTGGGCCAGGCTTGGCTCCATTCCTACCAAACTAGGCCCAGCTATGCAGACAATGTAGCAGGGACAAATTGGATTAAATACAACTTCCCAATTTCTCATTGGATCCAGCCACTGATTTTCTTTTTAAAAGAACATCAACGTACTCCATAAGAGACCATTGTCAGGTCAGAGACTCTGATTTTGTGGTTCAGTGTGTGCAGAAGAGAAAGGAGGGAGGTCATGTGAAGGGCACAGCAGATTGTATACCCACTGCTGCTGCTCTGAGTCCTGCTGTCTGCATACCGCTCACCACCAGCTGCAGCAGCTAGCCTTGCCTGGCTGATGTTACATGCTATGCACTGTTACTAGCTGCCTTCAGCCAAGGGGGAGGCACCAAATTTTCATTTGGGCACATGCTACTTCCCCTCAGTGCTCACTTGAGAACCTACTTCGCATGTGCTTATCATTTCAAAGTGAGAACATTCAAGGGCCTTCTTGATTTTCACAAACCCAACCTAAAATAGTTTGAGCTCGGTATGATGGTACAACCCTGTAATGTCAGCACTTGGAAGGAGAGAGGAGTATTCCAAGTTCCATTAGGAGACCCTGTCTTTATAAAGTCAGGCGGACAGGGCAGTGGTGGTGCACAGTTTCAGTCTCAGCACTCCAGAGGGGGAGGATCTCTGAGTTCGAAGCCAGCCTGCTCTACAGACCGAGTTCCAGACAGCCAGGACTACACAGAGAAACCCTGTCC